ACGCTGTAGCAGACCTCGATGACGCTGTAGCAGACCTCAATGAAGCTGTAGCAGACCTCGATGACGCTGTAGCAGACCTCGATGACGCTGTAGCAGACCTCGATGACGCTGTAGCAGACCCTGATGACGCTGTAGCAGACCTCGATGACGCTGTAGCAGACCTCGATGACGTTGTAGCAGACCCCGATGACGCTGTAGCAGACCCCGATGACGCTGTAGCAGATCCCGATGACGCTGTAGCAGACCTCGATGATGCTGTAGCAGACCTCGATGACGCTGTAGCAGACCTCGATGACGCTGTAGCAGACCTCGATGACGCTGCAGCAGACCTCGATGACGCTGTAGCAGACCTCGATGATGCTGTAGCAGACCTCGATGACGCTGCAGAAGACCTCGATGACGCTGTAGCAGATCCCGATGACGCTGTAGCAGACCTCGATGACGCTGTAGCAGACATCGATGACGCTGTAGCAGACCTCGATGACGCTGTAGCAGACCCCGATGACGCTGCAGCAGAGAGAGTGAGTGAGTGTGAGAGAGAGACAGAGAGAGAGAGAGAAAGTGAGAGAGAGAGATAGATAGATAGAGAGACAGAGAGAGAGTGAGAGTGAGAGAGAGAGATAGATAGATAGAGAGATAGAGAGAGAGATAGATAGAGAGATAGAGAGAGAGATAGAAACCCACAGTTCGGCCCAGGGTGAACAGGGGCGTCACCGGACCCCTTTACAGGGGGGTGCACAGAAATTTTGCCCAGCAAAATTGAGTATGACACTATTCTTCGAATTCGGTGTGTCTTGCCAAAAAAAGCTTGAGCAGTTCATGGGGTCGACTGCAGCGCTAGTGCATAATCATAAATGGGTGACAGTGTAAAGAAGGGCAATCGATACCGAAGCATAACAGCATTGCTGCGTGCCGGTTCTTCGTCAGGTCCCTCATCGTCCGATTCCCCTGGCCCAGCTGCAACAGGAATGGCTTCGTCGTCTCGCCTCACTTCTGGGTTCGCATTCCTCCGAAAAAGTTCGCTGATAGCGAGCTGGCCAGACGCTTTCCTTTTTTGAGAAGACGACATTTTGAGAGGAAACAGCTCCAAAGACTCTTCAAGTGTGGTGAGACTGGTGACCTGGCTAACTTACTTGTGACCACACTGAATTATTGATTTCTTCTGTTTCAAACAAACACCCAGCACGCCGCCGCAGCACGCAGTACACTTTTCATCATAACTAGGAGTTCGCAAAAAAACCAAGGTCGAATTTTTTAGGGGGTGCACGTGCCCCTGTGCCCCTCACGGGTGACGCCCCTGGTGAACTTCTCCTACTGTGTGTGTGTGTGTGTGTGTGTGTGCGTGCGTGTGTGTGATACCAGGATACCATATTATATCCATGAGCAACATAGAACATTGCTGCAGGAGAGGGGTGGGTGCACAAAAGAAAGAGTAGAACGTCTTGGTCACCAGGAAAGAAACTGCTTGTACAAGTAAAACACGCGCACACACACACGCAGACATTTTGGAGGCCTTAGAAACATATAAATCTTACGGGGGTGGCTGTGTGGTGAGGAGGATCCAACATAGCAAACTGTCCAGCATACCGCAGCCAACCTGAGGAAGGGATGTTGAGTGAAAATCCAATATCCATCTCTAATTGTCAAGCAACACCTTGGAGTCACACGGCTGCCCCAAACCCCTCACGTTCTCAAGCATTTCAAGTCACCACACATCCCTTGTAGCAGTGAGGTTATTACAAAACATTTTCATTGTTCATCACCAAGCAACACCTGCCCGAATCACCCTATGCGGAGTCACAAGTCTATCCAAAAATTCACATCATAAAGTTTTTCAAGTAACCCCACCCCGTTTGACGGTGCAATGCTAAAAACAACACCGCTTCATCCCTCCCTCAACTAAGGAACACCTGACCAAATCACTTGCCGGAACAACCGGGCATGGAATCAATTCGGCTGCCCAAATTATAAAGCACATCAGCGCCACAGAATTACCCTGAAGGCGTGTGGTTTAATGCAAGATTGACTCGTCGACTCGTTCAATGCCAAGCAACACTTACGCCAAATCAACGGGCATGGAATCATTTCGGCTGATGTTGAATGCAAGACTGACTCATCGACTCGTTCACTGCCAAGCCACACAAATCCCGAATGACCGGGCATGGAGTCACTCGGCTGCCTCGCATTATCAAGCATATCAGAGCCCAACACTACCCTTGAAGGAGTGAGGTTGAATGCAAGAATGACTCATCGTTCACCGGAAAGCAAACCACATCCCGAATAACCAGGTATGGAGTTACAAGACTTCTCCACATTATCAAGCATATCAAAGCCCCACACTTCCCGTGAAAGAGTGAGGTTGAATACAAGACCGACTCATCGACTCGTTCACTGCCAAGCAACACACATCCCGAATCACCGGGCATGGAGTCACTTAGCTGCGCCGCATTGTCAAGCATATCAGAGCCCCACACTTCCCTTGAAGGAGTGAGGTTGAACGCAAGAATGACTCATCGTTCACTGCCAAGCAACACACATCCCGAATCACCATGTACGGAGTTACAAGACTTCTCCACATTATAAAGCGTATCAGCGCCCCACACTTCCCGTGAAGGAGTGAGGTTGAATGCAAGACTAACTGATCGACTCGTTCATTGCCAAGCAACGCACATCCTGAACCACCGGGCATGGAGTCACTTCGCTGCCCGGCATTATCAAGCAAATCAGAGCCCCACACTTCCTTTGCAGGAGTTAGGTTGAACGCAAGAATGACTCATCGTTCATTGCCAAGCAACACACATCCCGAATCACCAGGTATGGAGTTACAAGGCTTCCCCGAATGATCAAACATATCAGAGCCCCACACTTCCCTTGAAGGAGTGAGGTTGAATGCAAGACTGACTCATCGACTCGTTCACTGCCAAGCAACACACATCTCGAATCACCAGGTATGGAGTTACAAGACTTCCCCACATTATCAAGCATATCAGAGCCCCACACTTCCCTTGAAGGAGTGAGGTTGAACACAAGACTGACTCATCGACTCGTTCACTGCCAAGCAACACGCATCCCGAATCACCGGGCATGGAGTCACTTGGCTGCGCCGCATAATCAAGCATATCAGAGCCCCACACTTCCCTTGGAGGAGTGAGGTTGAACGCAAGAATGACTCATCAACTCGTTCACTGCCAAGCAACAAGGATCGCAAGTAGACGGGCGTGGAATCATTTGGCTTCCCCACATTATCAAACATATCAAATTCCCACATTTATCTTGAAGGAGTGAGGTTGAATGCAAGACTGACTCAACGACTCGTTCACTGCCAAGCAACACACATCCCGAATCACCGGGCATGGAGTCACTTGATTGCCCCACATTATCAAGCATATCAGATCCCCACACTTCCCTTGAAGGAGTGAGGTTGAACGCAAGAATGACTTGTCGTTCACTGCCAAGCAACACACATCTCGAATCACCAGGTATGGAGTTACAAGACTTCCCCACATTATCAAGCATATCAGAGCCCCACACTTCCCTTGAAGGAGTGAGGTTGAACACAAGACGGACTCATCGACTCGTTCACTGCCAAGCAACACGCATCCCGAATCACCGGGCATGGAGTCACTTGGCTGCGCCGCATAATCAAGCATATCAGAGCCCCACACTTCCCTTGAAGGAGTGAGGTTGAACGCAAGAATGACTCATCAACTCGTTCACTGCCAAGCAACAAGGATCGCAAGTAGACGGGCGTGGAATCATTTGGCTTCCCCACATTATCAAACATATCAAATTCCCACACTTATCTTGAAGGAGTGAGGTTGAATGCAAGACTGACTCAACGACTCGTTCACTGCAAAAGCAACACACATCCCGAATAAGCGGGCATGTGGTCACTTGGCTCACCGCATATGAAGCATATCAGGGCCCTACACTTCCCTTGAAGGAGTGAGGTTGAATGCAAGAATGACTCATTGTTCACTGCCAAGCAACACACATTCCGAATCACCAGGTATGGAGTTACAAGGCTTCCCCGCATTATCAAGCAAAACAGAGCACCACACTGCCGTGAAGGAGTGAGGTTGAACGCAAGACTGACTCATCAACTCGTTAACTGCCAAACAACAAATATCGCAAGTAGACGGGCGTGGAATCATTTGGCTGCCCCACATTATCGAACATATCAAATTCCCACACTTCACTTGTAGGAGTGAAGTTGAATGCAAGACTGACTCATCGACTCGTTCACTGCCAAGCAACACATATCCCGAATCACCGGGCATGGAGTCACTTGGCAGCGCCGCATTATCAAGCATATCAGAGCCCCACACTTCCCTTGAAGGAGTGAGGTTCAACGCAAGAATGACTCATCGTTCCCTGCCAAGCAACACATCCCGAATCACCAGGTATGGAGTTACAAGGCTTCCCCACATTATCAAGCATATCAGAGCTCCACACTTCCTTTGAAGGAGTGAGGTTGAATACAAGACCAACTCATCGACTCGTTCAATGCCAAGCAACACACATACTGAATCACCGGGCATGGAGTCACTTGGCTGCGCCGCATTATCAAGCATATCAGAGCCCCACACTTCCCTTGAAGGAGTGAGGTTGAACACAAGAATGACTCATCAACTCGTTCACTGCCAAGCAATAAATATCGCAAGTAGACGGGCGTGGAATCATTTGCCTTCCCCACATTCTTAAACATATCAAATTCCCACACTTCCCTTGAAGGAGTGAGGTTCAACGCAAGAATGACTCATCGTTCCCTGCCAATCAGTACATCCCGAATCACCAGGTATGGAGTTACAAAGCTTCCCCACATTATCAAGCATATCAGAGCCCCACACTTCCCTTGAATGAGTGAGGTTGAATACAAGACTGATTCATCGACTCGTTCACTGCCAAGCAACACGCATCGCGAATCACCGGGCACGGAGTCACTTGGCTGCCCCACATTATCAAGCATATCAGATCCCCACACTTCCCTTGAAGGAGGG